ATCTTTCACTCCCATTTGAGCCACTTTCATGCGTAGAAGCTGAGTTGCCCTGGCCCAGGCCCTCGTTGTCTGGCTCCATCTCGTTCTCATCAACTCAAGGACAACCAAAGTGTGATGAAACAGTAGCCGAGTCCCAGGGTGACTGCTGCAGCTGCGGAGGGCCGTCTGTAGGCCTTTACTAGCTGGCCTTGAGATGCTCATTTGGCTGAATGGCTGGTGCTCACCCCTACAGCACACAGGAAGGGCAAGGGAAATAAATATACCCACCAATCTATTTCATCAGTTGCACTTGTGCGAAAGTAATTTGTATTTTTTTAAAAAACAACCCTCTTGGAAAGACTCAAGGCTGCTCTATCTGATCAGTTTGTAACAGTGAAAAGCACTTTTGGAGGGATGCCTTGGCCTCACTGTGGGCCTTGTTCACCCACACTGGCAAATTCCCTCAGTCAGGGAACCACTCTGGGATAGATTGGCTCTTTAGCCAAGACACTCTGCTCAAAGGCTTTTGGGCAAAGGCAGGCAGGGGCCTCCTCCTGGCAGTGAGCAGGCAGAGGCTGAGGGGAAGCAGCTCTGGGCCTCAGCTTCCAAATTCACTCCCTGACCTTTGGCTTTGTAGCTACACTTCTGCTGGACAGAAAAGTTTGGGTGGCTTCTTTTGTGGCCACACCATAGCAGTTATTTTAACCCAGATAATCTAATAGAAAAATTAAGTAAGTCCTGAAGAACTAAAAAGGCAGAATGTGCCACAGAGGCTGTGACCTCAGGGAGTAGCTGCTACTGCGAAGGTTGAAGGAGCAAAGGGAAGAGATGGAAATGAATAAAACTTAGAAGGAACCCCGATGGCCCAGTAGTTAACACTTGCCCACCAACCAAAGATCAAAGGTTCTAATCTTCCAGTGGCTCCCTGAGAGAAAGCTATGACATTCTGCTTCTGTAAAGATTCAAAGCCTTAGGAACCCAGTGGAGTCATTCTATTCTGACAGAGTTTCTGTAAGTTGAAATTGACTCAACAGCAATTAAGTATAAATGTGCATCAGGGGACCCCACAGAGCTGCAGCGCTGAGGTGAGGGGACTGCTTAGCTGGTTTGAGATCTAGCCATAATGGAGGGGGTCCTAGGAACTGGGATCCAGACCTCTGAAGACGGAGCACTACCAGGGCACTGGTTTCTCTGAGTATGACAAAGCTGGTTCTTTGAGTGGCTGGCAAGACAGCAAACTGGAATCAGCCGATGCTACTGGGATGGACTGGAGGTTCTGACAGGAAAAGGACTGACTGGAAAGTGAGCTTGTGGCCTTGAACTGTGTGCCTTAGGGATTGCAGTGCAGCTCCTTGCCATTAGGCCACTAGTGCTCCCTAAATTTGGAAATAAGAACTAACAGCTTACTAACAGGTATGCAAGGAGGTGTCAAAATTGAAATGACTTTAAATTAGAAGTTAAGATCTTAGTAAGTATTAGCAGTTACTAAGTTGTTGTTATTGTTTGGTGCCCTCAAATTGCCTGTGACTCAGTGACCCCATTCTGAGTCAATCTGTCTCCAACTCACCTACCCCTATTACCTCAGTTACTGTGGCAATCCATATCCTCTGGGGTCTTCCTCTCCTGCGCTGTCCCTCCACACTTCCCAACATAATATTCTTCTCCAACAGCTGGTCCATCCTGCTCATATGCTCAAAGTATATGAACTGGAGCTTCATAAATTATTCC